ATTTATGACTGATCGTAAATGTCATAACTCCGGACTTCTTGTTTCTGCCAGAATCTAGAAATTTTCAACATAAACACCGTATTGCACGTCCCAGACGATGAAATACGATATTATAGATCACGATACATTTCCAGTAATATCGAAACATAAGACTTTTGAAATTTAAATTACCGAGAATTAATTAGAACTAAATTTCAGGTTCATCTATAATCATCCAAATAAATAAGGGCTCAGAATGATCAGCGTCAGTTTTATACATAAAGCATAAACACACAAATTTGTATTTTCCTTGACATATCTAGAGCTCATATGGTATATAATTTGAATCTTCCATGGGTACTGTATGCAATGGAGTCTTCTCAGGAGATCTGCCATGTTAATATGGAGCATTTTAATTTACAGGATGGGGTGAAAATGAGTACACTTGTCACACTGGCCACTACCTGGTCTACAGTACCAGCTGTGGATGATGATGCAGATGACAGATGAGTGTGAAACAGATGTTGGAGCGAGAATTTGGAGGGGAAACCAAAGTACTCAGAGGAGATGTGTACCTGTGCCATTTTGTCCCCCACAAATCCCATATGATGTGACATGGGATCAGGCTGCTGCAGTGGGAAGCTGACAGCTAACACCCTGAGCAGGGCTGGGCCATAGCTCAAGCGGTTAGTCGCTGGTTTCCCACGGCGGCGGCTCAGGTTCAATCCTGGGTCTGGTAAAGTGGGATTTGTGGTAGAAAAAGTGGTGCTGGGGAGGGTTTTCTCTGAGTACTTTGGTTTCCCCTCCTAATCTTCATTCCACCGAATTCTCCATCATCATAATCAGCCGAGGCAGGCTACAATACCCCAATCAGCGGCTGCCGTGCTGATTGGACCCAGTTGGACTCCACCCACTACTAAGCAAAACTCCTTGAGCTTTGTCACAGACCTAATCCAATGTTTCGGAAACTGTCTCTGACACATTAGATACTAGCTCCATGGTGACATGTCCGATTGCTAAGGAAGAATTTGTTAAGAGCTTATATGATGTTTAAGATTACCGGTCCTGTAGCAGCAACACTGCACTGCACAAGTGGGATAACATAGGCTGGTAGTATATATAGAACACAAAACGGAATGGCACTTGGCCATACATGCTTTGCATCACTGGAGAGCAGGTGGGTCAGTGTACCAATCACATGCAAGAGTTGGCACTTTTCTTTTCTCTTTGTTATAAAATATGAAGTTAATGGGATGATTGCACGGCATTGCAGACCACAGTACAATTTATTCGTGTCATTCTGTTTCATGTCAGTTTTACATTACAAATATATCCTCATCATAAATTTATGACTATTGTCCACATGATTATGAATATGAATTGCTTTCACTAGTGTCCTACACAAGAACCATAATAATATTACAGTCTAGTATTGGTAAATACAAATGGAAAATTTTACTTTATATAGGTCTGAAGTGAGAGCCCATAAGGCTTAATATGATTTTCTTAATATCAGCTAAATTATATATGGCACTGGGTGTACCTTGAATTTGGAACATATATAGCATACTGATTTGTTATGGTTTCGCTCTCTCTCTAAAGCACTGTCAAGATAAACTTAAACTAGGCCACTGATTCCTGAAAAACCATTCAGTATCATCACAATACTCTTTATTACGTGACGCAACATGACACACACTCTCCATTTGCCTACCTGAGGTGCAATTTTCACAATCACTTGTCCAAAGGATCCATAATTTTTTTAATTTTAAATAAGAGGGGTCAGAGTTCCTGGTTACAGATCCAGGGATCCCGAGTTCGATTCCCGGGTCTACCAGATTTTCTGAGAAGTAGTGGGTCGGGAACGTGGTCCACTCAGCCGCGTGAGGATAACTGAGGAGCTATTTCAAGGAAATAGCGGCTCCGGTCTAGAAAACCGAAATTAACGGTCGTGGGGATCCGTTGCGCTGACCACGCGACATCCTCTATCCGCTAAAGTTGGCACTAACTTCGCCGACAAGCGGCGGTCGCTCGGTCAATAGACTTCGCTTGCGGACTACAGGCCACGGATTTAATTGTGTAAGGAAATTTTGTGACAAATTTGTAAAGCCTTAAACCATCATGCACTTAGGAAGATTATGGTTTTCCATTCTGCTTAAATATCAGTAAAATTATGACGCAAAATATTTAAAGCTCTCAGACCTATGCGGAGGAAGGGTGGAAATTAATAATAAAAAAAAACTCGTGGTTTTAGTCCACAAGCAGACTATACCTACCGAGGTACGCAGTGTATATGTGCCTTGATAGCATCTGAATGTTGGGGCAAATTTTATTCATGTTTGATATTAAGACTTTATCCATCACAGGTCAGTGCATGGTGAATACAAACATGCTAACTCCAAGAATAGGGGCCACTCAGATGGGTCCCAAAACATTCCCAAAAACGTCTCCAACAATTCTGATCGCATTTCACTAATTGATGTAGACCATCTCCCTAAATAAAACTGCACGGGTGGTATCTTCAGGGAATTAGCTGGTTGAGGGGCTACGCTACAAGCCGGAAGGCCGCGGGCTCAAGTCCCAATGAGGTCACTGGATTTTTTCAATTGACCTAATTCTTCCAGCCTCAGTATCGGCCTGGGGTCGACTCAGCCTCTAATAGAAATGAGTACCAGGAATCTTCCTGTGAGTAACGGGCGGCCGGTGCGTAGGGCTGACAACCTTACCGCCATCTGTGAGCCGATTGTCTAGAAAATGTGGGACCCTCAACGTCTCACAACCCTATGGGCCTTCACGGCCTGGTACAGGGATAGCTTTACTTTACTTACTTACACACACTAGGAACACAAATGCAAAATGTCAAAATACTTCTTATTGTTCATAGAGATTTGGATGTTGCTTGGCATTCAGCAAACAACAACTGATTTATTTTCAAAGTCAAAGTTGAAGTTAATGTCAATAATGTAGAACAAACTATACACAATGTCTTTACTGACTCTCATTGCTCGAGTTACTTCAACTTAATTTTATTTTACATGTTTCTCTAGAAGGAGGTTCCATTGTGTTAGTCCGGATTATAAATGAATTTTATTAACAGACATAAATTTCTTGTGGGTGATTTTCATTTGTTTTCAGCAGATTCACTTGCAAGGTCCTTACCTCGTATGCACCGAATGTAGTTATTGAATTCCTTTTGCAGCCGATTAGCAGCATTCTGCTGTCTTGTGAAGTTCGTGAGATGCTCATCAAAGATGTCATCTGCTGTCCGGTCTACCTTGCCAAGATTCTGTAGTATCTGTAACAATTATACAGTTTCCTGTGAGGTTCGAGCTTCTCACGTTGGTGACTATGAAGTTTTTTTAATTGCTAGTGGGGTGGGACTAAGTCCCTTGTACTGCGGCCATTTCTGACCTATTGTATCAGCCCCAGATGATACGTGTGGGCGACTGTGGATCAATTGGTGGAATGAAGATTGGCAGGGGAAACCGAAGTACTCGAAGAAAACCTGCCCTAGCGTCACTTTGTCCACCACAAACCCCACTTAACCGGACCCGGGATTGAACCCGGGCCAGCGACTAACCGCTTGTGCTATGTCGCGGCCCGACTATGAAGTTAACTGACTTCTGGAATGTATCGCGGTGTAGTCTAGAAGGAGTTGACATACATATGCCCTGAGGACAGTGGCATAACCTTTCTCTGAAACATCGATAAAATTTTACAAGACTACATGGCAAACATCCCAGAAGACATTTATCTGCATAGAGTAAAGCTGTCCTTGTGAATAATTAATCATGCACCATGCCATGAAGAGGTACGATGGAGAGGAGATATAGCTCCATCAATCTGATCTCTGGTGAGTGGTCAGCTTCATGCCCTGGACGATTTACCCCCGGGGAAAGAGCCCTAGGTACCCAGTGGATAGGAGGCTGGGTGGGCCCCAGAGCCGGACACTGTGGAATAGAAAAAACTCTTGCCCATGCCGGGAATAGAACCCAAGCCGTCCATCCCACAGCCCCTTGATATACTGACTGAGCTGTCCGAAGTAATCAATAGTTTTGCCATGATCTTAATACTCCAGTGAAAACTCAGATGACTTGTTATGAAGCACAGATTAATTGCAAAGGTTTACGACCAAGCAAGCTGGCTGAAGTGGTAACGCGACTTTGATACGGGAGTCGACTGGCTGGTATTTCGGCTAGGACACAGGTTATCCTTATTGAAGTAGCTCATATGACATTCAAACCTGGGGAAAAATATTTTATTTCTCGACATATCCCATCTCTTTACCAGTGCGTCGAAACCCGCATCACAGAAGTATTTTGGTTGTCATCTCAGCCACTTCCTCAACTCCGTTTCATCATCTGCGACTTTAGAACGTTCTTCTCGACCGTGTTGTGAACAGCTTTAAGGAAACATTTCTTTATGAATAACCCTTGCATTGAGTTCTTCTGCCTCTTCCCCCCCCAAAAAAACTAATACAACGCTGCTCTTCGGTACAATTATAATTATCAAGCACGGTCGCCATTTTGACTACTGAAACCAGCCTCTGAACATGCGCACGCGCGACTGCTACCTAGACTGTCATGAAGCGGGACTGTGCTGCTACCTATTGATACACATAGAAAACCTATTACGTCCATTAGAGATGTTTTACTTCCATTTGTGACTTCTTTACTGACTCTCCCTTGTATGTCTTCATGGCGTGGCCATTAATTAAGCATAGGGACATTAAATGTTACATAGAACGTAACGACGATGGCTGTGCGTTCTTCCGAAACGTCGGCGAACTACACGACGTTATATCCTAGAGGAAAGTATTCTTAATGGTCACAGCTGTGGGGGCCTCAAATCAAACTCCGTACATTTTTGTAATCCGAAACATGTTCAGCGTTGCGTTGGTACCCATGGTGTTTACGCAAAGTTATCAGACATGAACACAAGAGTTCTGATCACGAGAGATGACCTTATTAGTACATAGCAGGCAGGAGTCGAAAGTTGCGCGTGGGGTGCTGAGGTAAGGCGACTAGACGCCTCTTCTTGCAGCCGGTTCTACTAACTAGGAAGTCCACACAGATGACCTTTACGCTCTCATGTAGGCCGCAGCGGGGGAATAGGACATCGACCACAGCCGTTTCGTTGCAGGGTGCACCTTGCCCGACTGAGCGATACAACACTGTTTCAGAGCTTAACCTCAAGTTCGAATAGCGGGAAACAGTCCCAACATTAGCGGTACAGTAAAGCTTCGCTAATACGGATTAATGTGTGGGGGACGGTCATTATGATGAACCGATAATCCTGACTAATGAAGCAAAAGATATCCCTAAAAGAAATAAAAATAAAACTTAGAAATATAATATTTTATAATATAGATAGTGTTGATGAACTGAATTGACAGGAGGTTGGAGAAAACTGCATAATGAGGAGCTCCATAACTTGTACCTGTATAATTACAATGATCAAGTCAAGGAGGATGAGCAGGGCATGTAGCACGAATTGGGGAGAACAGGAATGTATGTAGGATATTGGTGGGAAAGCCAGAAGTAAAAAGACCATTGGAAAGACCAAGGCGTAGGTGGGTGGGAAATATTAAATGGATTTTGGAGAGATAGGATGGGATGGCATGGATTGGATTGATATGGCGTAGGATAAGGACCAGTGGATGGCTCTTGTGAACATGGCAATGAACCTTCGGGTTCCATAAAATGCTGGGAAATTCTTGCGTAGCTGCAGAATTGGCGGATCCTCAAAAAGGGCTCAGCTCCATGAGTGAGTAAGTGTTGATGAAAATAAATACAAAAATATGTCACTGCAGAACTTTCTTCCTCTGTCAGAAGTTGAAATCCAGGGTCTCCTTCATCCAGCAAAAGCCAATCTTGGATATTTTCTTGCGTGGATTCAGTCTCTCCAGCTGCCCTCAACATAGTCTGAAAGTCCTCTTGCTTCTAAATCCCATAAAAAAGTAAAAAGTAAGTAAAGGTTTCCCTGTAACAGGCCGTGGAGGCCCATAGAGTTGTGAGACGTTGAGGTTCCCACATTTTCTGAACAATCGGATCACAGATGGCGGCAATGCTGTCAGCCTTACGCGCCGGCCTACCTTTACCCCAAAAAACATTCCTGGTACTCATTTCTGTTAGAGGCTGAGTATACCCCAGGGCCATAGTGCGATTGGAAGGATTAGGTCAATTGAAAAAATAATCCAATGACCTTATCGGGACTTGAACCCCTGACCTTCCGGCTTGTAGCATAATGCCTAAACAAACTACGCTACTGCGTGCCCTCCCTTCTAAATCCCATATGTCTTTTTAAAGTATGCACTCAACTGTGAACAGAATTTTTAATTTTTCATATTTCGATCCGGATTATCCGAAATTCGGATTAACTGTAACCGGATTAGCGAGGGTTAGTGCAGTCATGTTGGTGGTGATAGCAGCAGCAGCAGCAGCAGCAGCAGTAGTAGTAGTAGTAGTAGTAGTAGTAGTAGTAGTAGTAGTAGAAATTACAACAATTCGTACGCCGAGCAAACTGGCTGAAGCGATAACGTTTCTGACTTTTAATCGGGAGGGGGCTGAATCGAATCTCGGCTGGGACAATGGCAGTTCTCCGGTCCCCGTAGAGAGGAGAACCCCACACGTCGATCTCAGAACAGGCAGTTGGACCCGTTCCGGTTCCTTGCTGGTTGTCCAATATTCCAGTAGAGAAAAAGACAAAACAAATTTTCTCAGATGCCAACGAAGGTAATGGGAACCAGGTAATACCACAAAGAAAACACAATGAAAGCATTGTTCCACTGCAAGGCGAGATACAATCATTGTTCAGTCCGATGCGTGGGAGAGCGCTAGTTGTTAACATCCGTGTTGCGTAATACATTATGCCCCATGCAAATATTCAAGCTGTCTCTTTCCTTTGTAATATTTCCGCTCAATTAGCGTCAAGAATAACGTCTTCTTCCTAAGCAATATCTGATGCTCAAGCGACCTCAACAATAGGCGCAATCCCTCCGGCTCAACAGCGCCTCTTTTCTACGTAACATCAGAAGCTCAGGCTCAACAATACGGCAAATTTCGAACATAACTGTCTCGGCTCAAGCAGACTCAAGAGTAACGGGTCCTTCCTCCGAAACAGCAGCACCATTTCCACACGACCACTCTCCACAAACACAGCGCCCACCGACGTAAGATCACACCTACATGAACTTTAGAAAAACAACGAAACATACGGCAATAAACCTACATTATAACATGACATAAAATACATTACTATCTTCCAATAGCATATATCCACCGACCGTAAAGAAGTTTTACGCAAATAAGGAAACGTAACGTAAGATTTGATGTTTTCACGGCGGTGACTATGAAGAATGCCTTCTTCTGGGATGTGGCGCCGTGTAGACCTTGTACATCTCCACAGAAGATCTACACGGCGCCACATCCAGAAGAAGGCATTCTTCAAAGAAATGTAACGCCCAAAGCTCATCAATATAAGATCATATCTGAGAAGAATGTCGTAAAACAATCCACAACGACAAAACACGACTGCAGACACTACTACTACATAGCACAATAATATTCATTAAACTCCTGTTAACACAACACAATTTCCGGCATGTAGATTTTACTGTCCAGGACGGCACGTGTGTCAACTCCTGATCCGGTTTAGTTACAATTATTCTATCACGCACTTACCGTAATATTGGCCGCCCCATAGCTCAAGCGGTTAGTCTCTGGCTTCCCACCGCGGCGGCCCGGGTTCGATCCCGGGTCTGGTCAAGTGGGACTTGTGGTGGACAAAGTGGCGCTGGGGCAGGTTTTCTCCGAGTACTTCGGTTTCCCCTGCCAATCTTCATTCCACCAATTGCTCCACAATCACCCTCAACTATCATCTGCGACTGGTACAATAGGCCAGAAGTGGCCGCAGTACAAGGGACTTAGTCCCACCCCACTAGCAATAAAAAAAATACCGTAATATTGCAACTAAAACAGGACCTGAAGACGGCATGCATGTGTCGAAACATGTCCGCCTCGACAGTAAACTCTATGCTGGAAACAGTGCTGTGCTGACAGGAATAAAATAAATATTATCCACAGCGATTTACACAATAGACTGCAACAAAATGTGAGCATATACCACGAAAAATACATCATTTTATAATCATGAACTATAACAAAGGCAGGCACCTTAACTAACAAGAAATATCATAACCACATTTTAATATTACAGCTACGAGAAGCACAAGGACATTGGACTAATATGTAAAAAACTGACATAAAATATATCCATATGTAAATCGAGATTAAC